ACCGTCCCCTTCACAGACTTTCCGCCACATATCAGAACCGAACGAGACACCTACGAAGGTTCCTCAATCGGTGATGAAGAACAGAGACAGGACCATCGACCCATCGGAGAAACCAGGAGAGTACTGGACGGAGCCTCCTCTTCACAAGCTGCGAGGCCAGTCGTTCGACGCACTATCACATGTGGAACACTTCCGGGTCAATCGCACTGGATATGGGAGCATCGAGTTCTTGCGGCCAGTAAACCTCACAACTCTGAAGAGCATTGACGACATCCCCGGGACCTACGTTGTCTTCGACCTGAAGGAGTGTGTGGTGTACCCAGACGAATCGGAGAAGCCTCCTGCTGGTGAAGGTCTGAACGTTCCTTCCCGTATCGTCCTCACCGGATGTTGGCCGATCGATAAGTCAACACAGGAACCGATCACGGATGCGAACAATCCGAGGGTTGCGGCTCATGTCAAGAGGTTGCAGAAGATCCCTGATGCGGCTTTCAAGGACTACGAGCCTGTGAGCGGGACCTGGACCTTCGAAGTCCCACACTTCACCCGATATGGCTTGGACGATGACTTCGATGATGAGGATGATCTCGATGAGGAGCAGGACGTCATGCCGGTTTCCCAGATATCCCCCATCAGGACCCCGCCGCCACCACCACTAATCGAGCGCCAACTCACGCCTGAGTCTGTAGAGGAGGAAGTAGAAGAAGGGTCTAGTGATGATGAGGAGGAGCTAGATGTGAAGAACGAACTCGCCCGATCGACAACGCGCGATGAGGAAGGTTACGCGTCTGCGCCTGTTCAACGTCCTTGGGCTGCGAGACTGGGCTTAGATCCACAAAGGGTGAACGTGATGCAGGCTTCCTTCTTCCACACTGCACCTGAGCCACCGGCACCTGTCCATCGGCAGTCGGGTTTCTTGAATCAAACGCGGAGGGACGATGATATTGAAGCAGTAGTAGAGCCTATGGGGGTGAGCCATCCCTCCTTGTAATTTCGATCCTGTCGTCTAGCATGATGCGAATACCATCCGAATGATTTTTCTCACTATGTCGTTCTGTGTGTATTTCAGCGTGAGCCCCAACCTTCGAGCATACCAAGTACCAGCGCCCTCCCTCTCATACCCTCACCCGTACGCGATCTCCAGATTGGCAAGTATTCTGACTCAATCGCCATCAACGTTGAGGCGTCCTTCGTGGATGCCGGACTTTCGCTGGCTCGTTCGTCCAGAGTTGGTTGGGGCCCTGCTGGCCAGCTAGCATACGTCGGCAAAATCTGTGGTCCATCTGATTCCAGGTAACTAAGGATGTTGTCCCTAGCATCATCCATCTATTGAGCAGGCTTATTGGTTTTCAGTGCTATTATCTCGACTTCCGTTACCATTGGACATATGACTCTCCTCTCTGCCCCCGACGTAAGCTGTACGTTCTTTGCGGTGCAAGCTTTAGTTAATGACCTTGAACGACAGGACGTTGAGTCAGAACGAGCGCTTCGTCTCCTGCGGGTGCAGCAACATGAAACAGATATCGAGAGCGACGAAGATGGCGTACCCATTGCGACACCACGCTCCAGCCTAACGTTTGGGGCTTTTGCGGCGCTTTTCCCTGTCAAGGATGAGCTGCACGAGGCTAGTGTATGGAGGCTAGGCGATGCATTGTTTAACGCAAGTGATCTCGGATTGAGCTCGGATGTTTCAGGAGATGTGAGGCAGGAAGTCCAGGCACTTCGATTCAAGACATCCGTATCACAATGGTTGGAAGAGACAGTGGCCCACGATGTCGAATTGCAGTTGCAAAACGAGACGCAGACATCGGCGGAGAACGTGTTTAGGATGCTCACTGGGCACCAGGTGGAAAGAGCGGTGGAAGCAGCAGCCGCAGGAGGGGACACGTTCTTGTCGATACTCGTTGCGCAGGCTGGTGGCGATAAAAGTTTCAGGCATATGGTGTTTTCCCAGCTCGACATGTGGAAGGAGGACGTCAACACGTTCATAGATCCTTACTACCGGAAGGTCTTGGCCCTGTTGGCTGGTGCAGCAGATAAGTTGGACCTCCCAAGCGATGGGAACACAGGGCGGCGTCAAAGCAAGGACGATTTGAGAGTCGCACTTGGGTTGGACTGGAAGCGAGCGTTTGGACTGCAGTTGTGGTACGGAACTAGCCTGGACGAACGGGTGGAGTATGCTTTCGATCTCTATCTGGACTCGTTCACGGCCTCGAAAGAGTCAGAGGCCGTAGCAAGGCCGCTACCTTGGTATCAGGAGGCAGCATCGAGAGCTACCGGCTTGATTCGTTGGAAGATGCCCCATCACAGCAGTCTACATGGAGAGGAGCCAACTTATGACGTTCTTTTCCGAATGGTCCAATTGGCCATCCAGCAGGAATTGCCACTGGAATCCGTCCTAACACCAAGGGCGTCGGGGCCGAGCCCTTTGGACTACCGTCTATCGTGGCATTTGTATATGCTGATATCTGTCGTCCTTGGTCGGAGGGACTTTGGGGATCGTCTTGAAATTGGACGAGGGGGTGGGACGGACGCAGAGGGAGATATCACACTCGATAGAGGAAAGGTCGGGACAAGCTTGAAGGCCCAATTGCTCACAGTTGGATATGCCTTCCAACTGGAGTCATTGGGCAAGAAGGAAGAGGCTGTCTTCATACTATTGCACCTTGAGCAAGCTGAAGGGTAAGTACCGCCAAGTGTTCAACCTGGGTAACAAAACTAGTTACTGAATCTTTACTCTTCTAGGCGAGCCAATATGGTGAAGCATCTCCTAGCGCGCCACAGTGGGGAGTGGGACGAAGACTATCTTACTGCGGATTTGAAGATCCCGGTGGCGTGGATTGCTGAAGCCAATGTAAGCAAAGTAGATGACCGTTATGTACGCATAACAGAGCTAATTTGGCCCCTTCGCCATATAGGGCATCCGCGCCCGATATGACAACAGGCTGATGGATGCATATCGGTGGTTCCTTCAAGGCGAACAATATCAACTTGCCCACGACATCGCAGTCGAGTTCTTGGCTCCTGAGGCAGTGATCATGAGCGATATGAATCTGCTTGAAGAACTGTTCGACGCTTTGGATCCAAGCGCAATAGTAGGCTGGCATGAGAAGGGGAATGTGAGTACTATCCGTTCTTCCCAATCCAAGTTCAATTTGTCTGAGACGATGTCTATCTTTTCAGTTGTTCTTGGAGTATGCTCAGTGCAAACTCAGGATCGAAGCTCTCGTTCAGAGCCTCGCGATGGACCGTGATGCTGTTCCAGATGCGGCCCAACGGGATCAAATGGCGACGCTCCAGAGGCATGTACCTCATTTATTGGAGCATGTGCCAAAGTTGTTCGAGTATCGGACCGAGAAGGATATCAAGCAGAGAGTTTGCTTGAGCGAAATGATGTCTGAACTTACGAGGATGTCCAGCGCATTGGCAACTTACTCGGGAACGGTACGTAGCTTCCTGAACGCCGGGGATGTAAGGTACTAACCGTGCACTTCTCTCATTCTTCGTGTGTTAGGCCCCACGATCACAGTCTTATATACAGTCATCATCGCTGCTCTCAGAACAGGCCCGGCTGGAGCATGTGCAGAAGTCGTCGCTCGATCGTTTCCTTCACAACTTAGAGGTGTCAACATACGCTTGAGGGTTTGGTGATATCTTGTCAGATTTTGTACATCCTTGATCGGCGCGATTATAAAACCATTGCTATCAATATCCACGTCGTAGCTACTACATACATACCCGTATAAAATTCAATCTCATGCGAGCAAATATAATAGTTACTTCCCTGAATTCAGGGATGTTATCTCTGACACCTCTCCCACCTTTCTCCAACCCAACAATGAGTCGTACGCTGCTGAAGTTGGCCACAATCCGGGAGATTTTTCGAGCTGGCCAACCATTGACGCTCTTTCGCAGTTCTTCCACGGCAACCGACGGTGCGTTCGTATGAATGTATTCTTCGTAACGATCATTGGGTTCAACGAACCACTCCACCTACAGCCTCTTCCTCTATCCACACATTGGTGTACGACAGCCAGCCGGATTCAGCAAGATTCATACATTTCTATCGACACTCTCATTCCCCTCAACGGATTGTCGCTAGACCTGCAGTTGTGAAGGACGGGGTTCACTTTGGCCGGTTGTCTCTCACAATCAGCTTGCGTGATTGGGATGACAAGAGGCCAATTCCTCGCTTCTGCCCATACTTCGACCCAGCTTCTAAGATGCTTCGATATCTACAGCTTGGCGATGGACCTTTAGTGTCGCCTAAAGAGAGACCCTTGGCGGAGCTCCTGAACCTAAAGTGTTATAGGCCGTTATTGGCACTCGCTCATGCAGAGAATCTCATCGACAAGCTTCCGGGTGAGTCTTAAGCTCTTCGACGCTTTTTTTTTTTTTAAATTGGATATCGTAGCGTTGATATATACCGTTTTTGCGCCCCAGCGGATGGATTGGAGTCCCTCGAGTTCGATCAAGTGTTGAACAGTGGCTATCACATTCGCGCATTTGGCTATCCATCTCGAGCTTCCTGGGTCTTCGAGCCGCACCTTCGATTCAGTCAGGAGAAGAAGCGACCACGACTTCACTGGTTCGCTCCGGCTGGTGAGCATCGTCCTTACGTCGATTGCTTCCCATACATCGATTCCGCTGGTCGACTCCGGATATGGGACTTGGATCGTGGTCGCGATTTGGTGTGGTCAGTGAACAAGGGCACTTTGGGGAGATCAGAGGAGAAGAAGGAAGTGGGAAGGGTGAAGTCCTCAATGGGCGTTGAAGGGGAAGATGTTCGTCGCAAATGGCCAGACTTCTTTGCGGCAGCGCAAAGAAAAGGTTACTGGGCTGGGTTATGACCAAGTCGATATGCCGGTTGTTGTATCCCTAGACCTGGGTACATCGGTATGCCTATGCGTGATGTATGACAACAATACAAGCCGAGGTATTCACATTTGATATCCTATTAAAAACCTAAAATATATTTAGTAGCCCCGATTTTTCACCAATCCTAGCTGGTGTAGTGGCTAACATACGACTCTCTCATAATGGTCAGTCGTGCCCAGGGTTCGATTCCCTGGCTGGGAATATCCTTCTTTTTTTTTCTGCGTTAGCTAGCGAAGGATACTCCCCCCCCCCCTTTATCTTATCTTCAGTTGGCAATGACCTACGACCGTGCTTACTCTCTTACAGCGGCTTTTGTCCTACTCCTCGACTCCGCCTGCAAAGAACAACATTTTCAGCCGTTAGGGACGCCGCACAAAGCCAAGCCGTGCCTTGGATCTTTGGATTTATGCCAAATCTGAAATCGGTGCAAGGGTTCGAGTAATTGAAATTTTGTTTTTAACCATTCTTGGCGTTGCGACCGCTTTAGAACTTAAAAAGCTCGGCCTGTTACACATACGCCACGCCAAGCCCATAGTATGGCCGCCAAGTTCGACGGTATAGTACCGTTCTGTTGCCTCGTCGTCGTCGGATACTCCCTTGTCCACAGTTGTACCTATGGAACCAGAAACGTGAAGTGCGCCCAGAACTTCGATTCTGCGGGGTGGCCTGATGGGGGTGGATATATAACAAAAAGGGCCGCCGGGCTCAGCATTCGGGTCAGCCACATTGTTGGCGTCGGTGGTATTTTAAAACTAGACAGGGATTATTTGAACAGGCATGCCTGTATAATCACCAACGTCCAGGTTGGTTAGACCTCGCACGTCTTTGATTCACCCCACTCCATCTCTTGCCAAGAAATTGAGGATATCAGGTAGCTGTCTCTGAAGATGAAGAGCATCACATGGAAGTCGAGTCTCGTCGCCACATGTTTCATCTTCCCTACTTTCAGTCTCTCGCTCCACGGTCGAGCTGACCCACTTGGACTGATCTCCGAGCGCGGGGTAACCGTGAACGACCCGCTGGTTAGAAGTAACTCGGACGGATCCGACTCTGGAGCACCCACAGAGGCCGGTGGCTCTTCAAAATACGTGTTCGCCCACTTTATTGTTGGTAACACATACGTGAGTGGACGCTTGAATGTGGAACAAATATTCCCAACAAAAACTAACTCTTTCAATATAGCCGTATGGCGTCGGCGATTGGATTATGGACATGCAGTTAGCGAGAAAGGCAGGAATGTAAGTCCATATACTTGCTGAAAGTCATCCCCATGGTTCTTTATTCAAGTCCCATTTCTCCCACACCGCAGTGATGGCTTTGCACTGAACGTAGGCGCGGACTATTGGCAAGCATCAAAAATCGCCGACGCTTTCAACGCTTCGCTCTCCATTGCCCCAATCTTCAAGCTATTCTTCAGCTTCGACATGACGTCCCTCCCATGTTCAGGAAGCGGCGACGCGGACGCACTCCACTCCTACATCTCCGAATATCACAACCACCCTGCGCAGTTGGTCGATGATTCAAATCGTATGGTCATCAGTACGTTTGGTGGAGAGTACTGCACTTTTGGACAGGGAAGTTTGAACGCTGGTTGGGAGTATGCTGTCAAGCAGGGGATGCCATCGACCGCATTTATCCCAGCGTTCTTCGGCTCCCCCGACAACTTCCAGAACTATCCTGTCATGGATGGTGACTTTTATGTGAGTAAATATAACCTCCGCATCACGCTTGTCCCCTTTGTTGATCAACTGTCCCGTCATGCAGTGGGACGGTGGCTGGCCTCTCGATGACAGCTCCATTTCGTTCAATCGTGACCAAGCGCAAATCAATGGTGTTGGGAAATTGGGTCCGGGAAAAGTGTACATGGCTCCAGTCTCTCCATGGTTCTTCACTGTGAGCACATAGCCCTTTTCGCCTTCTCAGAGGTTTTTTTTTCGCCAGCTAATTATACCATCATAGCACTACGGACCTGATTCATACAACAAGAACTTCATCTATAAATCCGACAATCATCTCTACGCGTCGAGATGGGAGATCCTCGTACAGCAGCGAGATAAAATTGCTATTGCCCAGGTAGAGCGCATCACCTTCTTTCTACAGTAACCGCATTCTGACGCACTTGTATTACTTATTCCCAGATTATCACTTGGAATGGTACGTGCTGCTCACCTTTCCATCACGTGGACAGCCGCCCAACCCCCGCGTACTTTAATCAGATTACGGAGAGTCCCATTATATCGGCAGGTGAGATGGTACATCCACAGCCCGATTCAAACCTCCCACTAACCTTTACTCACAGGATTGCTGGGGCTCAACCGGACTCGCAAGCGTGGACGGATGGCTTCGACCACACCGGTCCGTGATTCACAACGCTTACCCAGTACTACGAAGCCTCATACGCTGTGTTTCTTTGTTGGGTTTGTTTTGTTTGTAGGATGGCTTGAAGCTACGAGATACTACATTGAGGCCTTCAAGACAGGTGTCTATCCGGTCATCAGAGAAGATAGAGTAATTCTGTCAGCGCGCCCACACGCTAGAGATGCGGATGCCAATGATCACGTAGAGCGACCGACGAATTGGCAATGGGTATGTACCGCCCTCTCGGCGTTGTCCTTCAGCGCACACCTGCTGACTTGTATATATTCCGCATCATAGACCGATGATTACCTCTGGGCGCTCGTATTTGCTACGGCACCAGGAGTCATCACTTTATCGTCTGGCTCAAACTCCCAGTCGTATAACGTCGTTGGGGGTGTCAGCAAGTTACAGCTGGCGCAAGGCGAAGGGGGCGTTGGGGCGGCTATGTCACGCAATGGAGAGAACGTTTATTCATTCAGCCCTACGGGATTCTCCTTCACACTCCATCCATCAAGTTATAACTTCAATGCATATGTGGCAGCGGGCCCATAGAGTTCGTCTCGACTGCACATTATCCGATCTTATTTATTTATGTATTTATTTCGTTTACTGTGTTCCAGATTTGATTTTTTTTTTTTTTTTTTTTAGTTATCGTTTGCGCCTTGCGTCCTACTAACAGCTTGTATAAACTGGCAACGATCGGGAGAGTTAGAGGTGAGACAATGAGATGACATGTTGCCTATAGTTTTTGGTTACATTGGTGTTGAGCCCAGCAACAAGTGAGGTCCCGCACACGACGGAGTTATTGGCAAAAAGGTTCGTACTGAAGCTAAACACTTGGCGATGTTTGAGAAGTGACGCGGTTGATGAGGGCGACCGAAGAAAATCGTTAGGCACCGCCCGGGATGACGGCGTGAGCTGGAATTTTACTTTCAGTTGGAATACCGTGGAATTACGGGCACGCAATTAGTTTGACATCTTTCATCATCATGTCTTTAGGGTCCTTCTCCGACGCGCATGTCATGGTTCAATGACGACCTCGGGAAAGTCCCACGGATCGCTCCGTCGCGGCCGCCCCTGCGAGGGCAGGTAACTTACGGTCCACGGATCTGGAAAGAACCTTGATATCTAGGCTTCATTGTTGGTCGCAGGGTATCATCAAGATAGCCTTTCTGTGGGCTTCCACTCAAAATAACTGATTGTATGGTTAATTCCATGAAAAGCACCAAGTGCGATTAGTTATACTAATCTCTGTTCAATATGGGGCCATGCTCAAGTGCTTCATAATATATAGCTATTGCCATTTTATCAAATTCTCGGACGCTATCATACCGCAGCTTAGACTTCAACAAAGATCACAAACGATTGTATCTCACTCATCGATAACGGTCATGGTATCATGGGTTCGTAACACAAGGAATGTGTACAGAGAATGTGTACGGTGTCTGCTAGAGCTTACATGAGAGGATACGTAATGCATATGCCAGCTCTCTATATAAACCGACACGAAGACCGTCAAAAGATAGCAGTCCATCTCCCTCTTACAAGAAATATACACTCCACTCACCCAATTACATATCTCTCCAAATTATATCTCCCTATGTCTGGAAAAATCACCAAGGAGGATGCAAAGAGGATCGAGGAGACCCAAGTATGTGTCGAATACAATATACCCTTTCATCGTTCAAATAAATCTGACATACTGCTACAATCCCAGAAAAATAAGGGCCACGAGACGGGGCCGAATACTTTCACTGAGCGCGTGAAGGATGCCGCAGACCGCAACGCCAATGCCAACGCCGGCTCCAACGCACCCCCTGCTGGCAAGTAGAACATGGAAGGGCGCAATGCTGTAGACGAATAGGGAGAAACTATTGTGTCAATGTCAAAAATGTACAAGTGTGACTATCTGTGTGATGAGAAGAGGGTCGTGATTAACACGGGGGCCTAGATAGCACAAGGATCTATCCAGACAAAGTGGTTTAGTGTATTGGGTAGTCGAGTGACGTGGAAGACGTTGGCGGCCGCCACTGTGAGCTACCATTTGTAGAAATCCGATTTGATTCTACACATTTTTGATAAGGGAAAAACCCAAATTTAGCCTAGCGATAGGTGAGACTCGAAGAGCGATTTGGGAAGTGACGTAGTTGGCGAGAGTGAAAAATCGTTCGGCACCGCCCGGGATGGCGGCGTGAGCTGAAATTTGCTTTCACTTGGAACAACGTAGAATTGCGACCACGCAATTAGGTTGACAACTGAGCCATCTTTCACCATCATGTCTTTATCCTTCTCTTACTTGCATGTGATCAGGAAAGTCCCACAGATCGCTCCGTCGCAGCCACCCCTGCGAGGACGAGAAGAGAAGGAAACCTACGGTCCACAGACCTGGAAGGATACCTAGGCTTCATTGTTAGTCGCAGGGTATCATGAAGACAGCCCCTCTCTGGGCTTCCGCTCAGAAAAACTGGATTGCATGGTTAATTCAACGCAAAGCACAAAGTACGATTAGTTATGCTAATCTCTGCTCAGCGTATTCAATATGGGGCTATGCATGGGTGCTTCATACTCTATAGCTATCGCCATTTTATCAAATGCGCGGAAGCTGCCATACCGCAGCTTAGACTTCAACAAAGATCACACAGGATTGCATCTCACTCATCGATAACAGTCATGGGTTCATGGGTTCATGGCATGAGGAATGTGTACAGAGAATGTGTACGGTATCTGCTAGAGCTTACATGAGAGGCTACGTAATGCATATGCAAGCTCTCCATATAAACCGACACGAAGACCATCAAAAGATAGCAGCACATCTATCTCACACATTAAATACACACTCCACT